CACCTTTCTTGAAGAATAAGACCACCGCACTTCTGCTCCACGCCTCTGGTGTAGTGCCACTATGGAGGACGGAATTAAAGAGCTTCTGAAGGACTTCAAGTACCGGTCTTCCACCCGCTTTCAGAAGCTCCGCTGTAATTCCATCCTCGCCTGGGGCCTTGCCGTTTTTAAGGTGCTGGAGAGCCATTCTAATCTCGCTCAGACTGACGTCTGGGATATCTTCGGAATAGTGTCGGATGAGACTCGCTCTTGGATCGTTACTCACACTTGCGTGTGGCTCCAACGATGACGTGTACAACTGCCCATAGAACCTCTCAATCTCACTCAAAATCTCAGGTGTCCCGGAAACGATGCTGCTACATTCGGTCTTCAGCTTTGACAGTTGACTTTTTCTGGCACACAGATCTCTGGCAAAGACTTTGGAGCCTTGGTTCCGCTCGATCACTTCTTCAATACAAGCTGTATTGAAGTTGCGTAAGTCGCGCCGCATGCATTTGGAGATCTGTCTGTTCAGTTGCCTGTATGCTGTCAAATCTGTTGAAGAATGTAGCTTCATCTCCCGTCTAACAGCCATGAGATTAAGAGTGTGATCGGAGGGTTTTTGTGTTCTTTTGCGGCGGGTCTTGCAAAACTTAGCTCCGACCGCATGGACAGTTTCCACGAGCTTGTCATTCATATCGTCCACTTCATTGCAGTCTTCTAGGGACTGAAAACGATTTTGTAACTCGAGCTGAAAGGTTTCGGGACTTTGGAACAGAGCACGAGGGGGACGGAGCGTTAACTTCATTAGACGCGACCTCTTTAACTTAACGTTTAGGTTCAGTGTACCTCTAACCATTCGGTGATCGCTACCAGTTTTCACCCTCGCGATCACGGAGACATCACTGAACAGTTGTCGTCTGGTCGTCATAATGAAGTCAATCTCATTTTTTTCGAACCGTCGGGGCTCGACCAGGTCCACTTCCTGTGGGGCCGCTTCTGGAAGAAAAAGTTCATCATATAGAGTCCCTCTTTCTCCATGAAGTCGGCCAGCTGCTGGCCCCTTGGGTTCCGTTGCCCTATTCCAAATTTCCCTACTTTCAGCTCACCGTTCTCTCTTGTGCCTAGTTTTGCATTGAAGTCTCCCATTAACACCGTATATTGGGTTTTGGAGGAATGCATGGCTCTAGAGATATCCTCATACATTTCCTCCACCTCCTCATCGGGGTGTGCCGAGGTTGGTGCGTAAGCCTGTATGACCTTCAGCGAATACCGTATGGTGATTCTGAGTATAAGGTACGCAACCCTCGTCGACACACTCTCAATCTTTACAACGTTGTTAACGAGAGACTTGTGGACGATAAATCCGACATCTCCTTGTGACAGATGGTCGCCCTCCCGGTTATAGAGCAAGTTGCCGGATTCGAGGATTACCGTGTCCTCCTCCTCTCTTCGGACTTCGGATAATCCTATAATATGCCAGCGCAACTTGTCTATCTCTTCTTCCAAATAGTTACATTAAAAAGTTCATCCTACATTTTTCCATTCATAGGTGTAGATTTTTTCTCCAAATTCACATGCAGCCAGCCCTAAAATATAACCAATTAAAAAAAAGATTTATATATACACATGTACAAAAAAGAAACATTCGAATTGAGATTCCTCCTTTTCTTTAAAGTTTGATTAAAAGGGTACAATCCCGTTAAATCCGAAAGCATTTACTGTGACTATTTATAAGTTTTAGTCAGACTTTAAAAGTGGCATGTATTAATTTGAATAATTTATGCTTGTGGCATGATCAGATCAATATGTTTTATACAGTACCGAACGTTCAAATTTTGTACCTGATGGCATAAAATACGAGTCATAAAACATAAAATGTGGTTTACAGATCACCGTCGATTTACTTCGGTCCTGGCAACTTCTAATTGCGTCTTAAAATCACCAATTTTTGTGACCAGTTGTTATTTTATTCATCTTAACCCATTCCCTGTCCCATGTCACATTGCTATAGTCTTACTATTGTGTCTGAAACCGGACAGTGGATATATTAAGTTAATATTAACGTAACGGTACATCATAAGTCGCGTCCCTGATGCGCTGCATATGGGACGGCTCAAATGGCTACATACAACTGTTCGCCTGGCGGATGGATCTGGATTGCCCTATAATGCGACACTGGACCAGGTTGCATATCGAGCACTCCGGATCTAAACCTAAATTTAGATTACATTAGAGCTGTATCTGTTTATGTAGCTGTGAATTTAAGTAATTGTAATAATAATTTAATTTTAATGAAATATTTTTTTATGTAATTCATATAAAATTGACATCGTAACTTAGATTTAATAATTTAATTTCGATGTGTATTTATGAAGTGATATAGACTAGTTCCGAAATAAATGATTTTTAATTTAATTTAATTTAATAAGTATGGTGGCGGCGTAAGACAATCCACTACCCCATATCACACCGTGGGAAGCGACAGAGGGAAACTGAAACAAGAGATATGCAGCAGCACCTTCTTAATATAAACAACTCAAAATCATAAAAAACTGCAATTGCCATCCTGTCTGCCAAGCGTGGTAACTACGACAAAACCACCCTATGATGCAAACTATGGGAGAAAACTGTGTTCAATAATGAATTTTTATATGAATAGGTGGATGAATATTATAAATTTTAAGTCATAAGCAATTTGAACTCCACGTGAAAGGATTCGTAGTAAGTCTTCGAAATTCTGTCGTTTACCGACTACCGCGTGCGCAAAGCCGCGGACAAAAGCTAATTAATATTAGACTTAATTATGATGAAACTCAAAGATAACTGCGCAAAAACGTTTCTTCAGCGCTGTATTCTTTCGTATAAAACAAAACAGTTGCAGGAAAATTTGCATAGTATCAAGAAACTTAGTTCAAAGCCAGGAATAATAAGTACGTTTTTTTTATATTCATGTAATCAGTATCTTTTTTTCGCATTAGGAGACACACGACAATATATGAAAATTAATCAATCAGAGTTATTATTTGACATCCTATCGTATCGATCATTGTTAAAAGTTGTTTCGGTGGGCGAAATTTCCTCAGTTATTTCTCGAGTTTCGCGTGAGATGGTTTTTATGGAAATGCTAATAAGGAATTAAAACTATTGAGTGTTTTAGCTAGGCTGTCGAACAAGAATATTAATTAGGGTGTACCTAAACTAGTGACTGACGCCGGTGAACATAGTTCAGAAAGCAAGGAAAAATGAAAACACAGTTTGCTTTTACGGCAACTTTTCTGCTGGTGCTCGGTAAATATTAATTATATAAAATATATTAAATATTTTGTTATATGTTTTACGGTAATGATTTTAATATTACTATAAATATTCCACACGTTGAAAAAAGTCACTGATTTTATCACCTTTGAAAAATAATTTTGAGTTCCTGATCATTCGAGAACATTGCACCACCTGGCAATAAGTGAATAAGGTGTCCACGTTCTGAAGTCGTTGGCCACCCAGACTACCTTCAACTTTTAATAAATAATTGTAGGACCGATCTATTCAGAATAGTGAGATCTGAAACCAAACATAGTCTAGGTCCACGTCAGGATAATATTTTGGGTCTCTTTGTTTTAAAGAGCATTATTCTGATTTCATAAAAGCCCACCATTCTATCAGATTTGATAGATCACAAAACCTCGATAAAGAACACCTATTCATACCAAAGATGATTCGTGAAGCCAATGAAATTAAAATCATCCAAATTTCAGTAGGAAAGATAGTTGGGTGTTACGCATAATCCCATCTGACCAAAATTTAATAAATTAATGATCCCATAATTAAAATTAAATCTAAACCAAAGCACATAACTTCACTTCAAGATACTGTAAGCTCGTCCTGCGTTGATCGGACTAAAAATTAATATTCAAAAGCTAAAGTTCTTTCGTTTCTCTCTCCTATGACATAACGTCAAACACCTCATTCTCCGTGACTATGGGCGCTGCAAAATGACGTGAAATGTCAGAAATTGAAAAATTTAAAATCAAAGACGATAAAATCCGTAAAATCTGACCAAGTCTAGAAAAAAGCGGCACGGCCGTACAATCCTTTTCTCAAAGCAGTTCAGGCCATTTTCGATCCCATATAACTTCGTTGTGGACAAAACTAGAAGCCTGAATTTTCAGTAACCAAGCATGCATTGTATAAACATGATATATTTCAATCGCACTAAACAATCTAATTTAATATAATATGTATTACTTGTGAGATACATTATGTTATCATGCAATGGCCAAGTCAATCTATTTATTTAAAACATAAAAGATTTTTAATATTGATTTGGTCACTATAAGATGTTGTTAGGTTAGCTTATTACGTAATAACTTAAGACAGATCGACCCTTTATTAGGGACTGAATAAATTAACCGACTTGGTATTACATGGATCTCACTACTTTTTACGGTAGATGAACTGAGTTGCGAGACTTGTTTTTTTTACAAGTTATTTTTTGATGGCATTTGTTTTATTTAATGTGTAGTATTCGCATAAATATAAGAAACATTTACTATTGTTGTTATTCTTAAAACTTATCTTTTTTACGGTTGTTAACTTTACTAGTCTGTCTAGGTCTCCACTCTCTTATTTATATCTGCCGTCAATCAACAATGCTTGCAATACTGTGTTCCAGTTCAAAGAGAAGACTAAAGAGAGCTAGTATAAATTAAAGTTGAAGTGCATTCCATCTTAGTCCTCAGAGATGACAACACATCTGTAGTCTTCTTTGTTTGAAGTAATTCATAAGAATATTATGAAGTTTGGCATAAGGTGGAGTGTAATTCGTTTGTCATTTTGATGTTAAATAAAATAATCAAAAAAATCTGGTGCGGCGCAGAGTACAAATGACCCTCTCAGAAATGCGAGGAAACGCACGCACTCATACACACTTGCACACAACACACACACAATCATGTCATAAACGTACTATTAATACTAGCTTTATGATATCACACATTTGTTGACAATAAAAACTGCAGGTTATGTTGGTAATAAATAAACGTATATTATTGTCACTATTATTATATAATTTAACAAGTTGTGTCATTACAGATATCGTCAAATGTACTGAGACTGAAAATATTATCACAGAAATCTCGCCTGTATCTACAGTATACAAAAAACCGACATCTTACATTGACTTGTTGATTGACGATCTACTAGATCAAGAATGGGATGAAAGCGAAAACTCTTGCTATGATCAGACTTTAACAATTCTGACCAATGTTAAGAACTCTACACTATGGGCCACATGGAGTAAGTATACTTAAAAAATAATTTCTCATGCTTTGCACCCCGTATCCTCAGGCGTTTTTTTACATACAGTGCACATTCATTCATTCATTAAATAAATTCATTCATTCATTCATACATAGACAAAATATCCAGATACCAAAAACTATCAATATAAAAATAAAAATATAAAATATATAATATCAGTTTGAAGGATCATTATCATAATCGTCATTATAACAGCCTTTAACAGTTCCACTGTTAAACATAGGCCTCTCTCAAGAAATGACACAAAACACTCTCCTAAGTTACTTGCTAGTCTCTCCAGGTCGGTACTCCGTCTATTAAAACTATATAATATAACTGTATAAAATATTTCTTCAATTAAGAGTCTCAAAAATACTATTTGTACTAAAATAAAGTAGACAACCCTAATTCGAACCTATGGTTCCGCAGCGCCGCAATGCAAAGCTAAAGCATTGAGATGCAGGGCCGATGCTACAGAACGCAGTGGCGAGTAATTGCAGTGTAAGAAAAATAACCTCCAATATCTTCTTAAATTAACTGTGAGAAATTAATGCAAGAAAGGTTTTATTTTCAAGTTGTTAGGGCGCATACAAAGGATTCCGTAGTTATGTATGAGATTACCGAGACCGCAAGGGCTACAGCGCTATAATTTGGTATATTTATATATTAATCACGCCTACAAAGTTGTGAAAAAAATAATTTTTCCTCCTCCTTACATACAGTTGATTGTTTTATACCCATCTATCATTTAGGGAGTCGTTGGATAGGTCTTTTAAAAATATTGAGGGTATGGAACAACAGTTTTTCTATTCAGGGGTCCGTTTGCGAAATATTTATCTAAAACTAGCTGCATTATAACTTTGTAATGTTATAATAAACTATAAGAAAACGACTTATGCACTACTACTGTAGCTTTACGTTTTTCTTTTTGGGGGGATACAGAGTAGGTCGGTCGCCAAGAGACCAATCCTGACAAAATATACTTTCGCCTATTTTTTAAGTCAGTACTATTGTAGGCCTACAGGTTCTTGGTATACTTGGGCGACCCTCAGGATAGTTTAAGGTAGTAGTGGCTTACGGGAGGGTTCGTTACGGTCATGTATATCGTAGGGTTGCATCGCCAGGACCTAAAAGATGGATAGGGAACTATAACCATTTTGTACGGACTTGGCATGTGAATGATTTGATGTAGATTGTATTATTTTGAAAATTGAAGTTTTTTAATCTCTTTTTAATATCACTTCCTATAAATATGCTTAAAAAATAAGTCCTTCAGTTACCGTGGTCCTATTTGTGCCCTTCTTTACTCGTTGTAACTGTCAAATCACATACTTAATATACTTATAGTTTCAAGAAGTCCCATTATAAGTTCACGTATTGTGTGTAGGTCTGAGGATGAACATGGACAAAACAAAGATCATGTTTAATGTCCATGTCACACCTATGCCGGTAGTTGTTGGGAGCACTAAGCTCGAAGTTATTGACGAGTATGTTTACCTGGGGCAAATAGTCCGACTAGGTAAGTCCGACTAGGTAAGTCCAACTTCGACCGATAGGTCAATCGACGAATTCAAGTCGGCTGGGCAGCGTTCGGGAAACTACCACACATCTTCTCGTCAGACATACCTCAAAACCTTAAAACGAAATTGTACAACCAGTGCGTGTTGCCAGTGATGACTTACGGATCTGAGACGTGGTCCTTCACTGCTGGCCGTATGAGGAAGCTCAAGGTCGCTCAGCGAGCTATGGAGAGGGCTATGCTCGGAGTTTCCCTGCGTGATAAACTTAGAAATGAGGATATCTACAGTAGAACCAGAGTAACCGACATAGCCCAACAGATTAGTAAGCTGAAGTGGCAGTGGGCCGGCCATATAGCTCGAAGAACCGACAACCGATGGGGAAGAAAGGTTCTCGAGTGGCAGTCTCGTACCGGTAGGCGAAGTGTAGGGCGTCCCCCCACGAGATGGAGTGACGACCTGGTAAGACATGCAGGAAGTCGATGGATGCAGGTGGCTCAGGACCGTGCTTTGTGGCATTCTTTGGGGGAGGCCTATGTTCAGCAGTGGACTTGCTAAGCTGACTCTTTCTAGAAGAAACAGTGTATTGGCTGACCATTTTATTAAATTAAATCCACCTAATTTTAGTAAGTTTTGTAAGTCTAATTATAGTTTTTCAGATGATTCGAGGTCATGGCTCCCACTCATCAAGTCGTCCATATAAAAATGTTCTTGCAGGACCTTCGCTGCTGGGCTATCCTGATACTTATGACCTTCATCTTCTGCTAACTGTTTCAATACCATCCATGGCAAGAAAAGGTGCCACCTTGGTTCCATATTCAGAGTAGTTAATTGATATTCTTGTAAAGTTCCGGTTGGTGGATTTCTCCATATGATTTTTTGATATCTCTGATATTCTTCGCGAATGAGAATCTGCCGAAACATTCTCGATGTCAGTGGTGTAGGCATATGGGTGCTGTCGCCAGGTGAGAATCAGCGATAATAGGTCCTGTTGTAGGTTGGGACCCCGGAAAGCTTGAATGTACGTATTCAAGCTTAAGCCGCTCGATGTTTTTGACGCCCTGTTAAGGCTTTAACTAGCCTGAATAACCTTGACGAAACAGCGATCGCAGAGATTTTACCCGACGTCAATACCTTCTAGCAACTACGTTCTGTATTACTTATAAAAGTGCAAAGATTAATTGACTGCAGAGATGACAGTTATATAAGTGACATACTGCCTGTTATGCTTGCGCATCACTGAGAATTATGTCGCGAGTACGCATCTTCAATTAAATTGTGCTGTAGCTTTGTCCAGTAGGCGTCACGAGCTATCAAGTGTTCAAGTTTCAAGTACATAAGAGTTTTTTATTATATATGTTAAATCGTATTTATTTGTGTCGTATTAGTAGATCTGGGTCTAAGCGTTCGCTGTAAATTTTTCCCGGGTTTGATCACCGACAGCACGAAAGAAATTTGTAATTGCAATATTTGTCAACACGCATTGGGGCAGCGCGGCGGGCATTTCCTTGCCCTAAAACCCTCTCAGAAATAAAAAGAGTCCTGTGCCCAGTAGAGGAACTTGTATAGCCTATTACTTTACTTTGTAGCAATATTCATATTCTTTTCAGATACAGAAGGGTACCTTATGCTGACAAAAATATCGTGTGGAGGCGACGAAAACGTAAAGCATCTTTGTACCTAGATAAAATGTTCGTGAGATTGTCAGTCATGTCATACGCCACATTTTCTATAGAGCGTAGAACATTGCAGATAGGGCAAAATAAAAAATAATACAAAATATTATGGGAATTATTTATTAATAGTATATACATTTTAGGTATTTATAATAAAAATAAGGAACAAGCTGCAAGGTTCAAATAATAATGTTTCTTGCAAACACAATTGTAAAATTCCTTTTTTAATTTTTACCAATGGTTAATTGATGAAACTTAGTCAAGATCACTTCATATAAAATATATTTAATTAAAATTGACACATGACCTATTTGGGCTTCTACTTACAACTCGGCGGAAATTTGAAAAGAAGATTTTGTCTGTTCTTAATTAGCTTGTGTACACCATTTTTCACACAACTATTGTTTACAACTGGCTTGGTTTCGAAAAGCGTGATTAAATGTCAGCGGTATATAATCAATTAAATACTGAACTTTTTTGTAATTTAATTTTTTGTTTATTTTTGTTATAATATATTCTTAAAAACTGACGCCATCTCAATATTTTTTCGTAACGCATAAGGATAAGTTTGACTTAGTAAGATTAACTTGGATAAGTTTGTAATTTTTTTTAATTTTATCACAAAATTTCCGCAATAAATTATTACCTTTTCTACAGTGATTCTCTCCTCTTAGTTTCGGCGTGACTGTAGGATGTTATACTGAGTCACCGTCAGTTACTAAGCGGCTATAAATCATTATATGTATGTATAGACATACATATATACATTTTTTGATATTAATATTTATGTTTTTTTTTTTAATTTTGATTGATTTTTTGAAACCTGGTAAAATTATTTTTATCCATACCAATTCATGGGCCTGAGTATAATACCAGTTATGCTCTTTCACTGAAGTTGTTTTTTATTTTATACTCAATTGCAGACAAAAGAATATTGATTGCACATCTCTAAAACAAAATTTTACCTCTACTCCTTCTAATAATAGCTCCTGCACCTAACACGGTGGAATAGTTATTATTATCTATAAGATCATTTGCAGAAACCGTTTTTGTTAACAGTCATGAATGTAACATTTTTATCAGCTGCTTTGTTTATAGTGCCTTGAGCAACACTTTTCCGGTTTCTGTACAGAAAATGATGCTGGCTTTGCAAATATGGATGGCCGCTACACTTATTTACATAGAAACTTTAATTATCATTTGCATAAAATTCTAAATAGCACTTTTTACACAAGAAAGTAAACTTTTAGATCAGTCCATCTTGTTTTTCACTAATTAAGTGAAAAGTAAAACAAACCAATAGGTCTGTGATTTAAAATTTCTTGCAACTTTTTATAGAAAAACATGACCTTATTATAATATAATAGTCAATCATTTAGCCATATGATAAAACTCTTAAGTGTGCCAGTCAAGCATTTATGATGATATTTGGGTCATTATACTGGAAATAGTCTTTTAAATATTTTGTAGTACAACTGATAATCTTCAGTATGATTGACCGTGTATATGACTTTTATAAGTCTATGTTCTTTTTGATGAAAATTATTATTGCAGATAAAAGCCCTTTCACATTTATTTTAGTCTCGAATTAAATTAATCAAAATGAAAATAAGAACTTTGGCTCTTTATAACTGATCTTTAAATGGGGTTGTTATAAAGTAATTTGCTTAATTCTGCGTAAAGAAAGAAAATGATGTGTCCTGTCCAGTTTTAAGGGGACCTCCCACCCTCCCTCAATCGCGCGCACTATAGCCGTCGTCGTTAATCCCAGCACTACCAACTCCAGCACCACCACACTAGGCACGACACACCACACTCGAAATTACTACACTCGTTTCACTGCTGCTGGCCGCTAAGTGACTTAGCGGCCAGCTTCCGCAGAGTCTACTTCACCTGAGGATGCATCGTGTAGAGGCGAAACACGTGTCGTAATTTCGAGAGTGGTGTGTCGTGCCTAGTGTGGTGGTGCTTCGTTACCCTGTATTTTTTCTTTTTGCATTAAATGAACAGTTATTGAGATTGTTTTACTTAAATATCCACGATTTAGGCATTTCAACCAATGTTAAGGCCTTAAAAACTACTCGAAGCGAAGTTATTGTTGACTCCGGTGGTTGCATGCAATGGTGAAGTAAATACAGACTGTAAACAGGCGTCGTGTTACATGACGACAATTTCATATGACCTAATTCCAACTACTCGTGGATACATTTATATTCTTGTGCAATATATCTTCGGTAGGTAAAGCTTTTTTCTAACTGTATAAACTGTGCTATTGCTCTTGATTTTGACTCTCAATTTTTGATCTGCTTCCGATATAAATCGCAATCTGACTGTTATTACCGTATTCTTGTCTTATTGTAGTATTTTTGAAATACTCCAGGTATTGATCATCTTCTTAGGTCACAATGAGTTCGTCAGGTATATTTTCTATCTCCCAAAAACGTTGAATCTCATCTATATCGTTGATAATAACGTTGCATTGATAGGATTTTAAGTTGCCACATATAATTCACCAGAGACGTGTTTGCTGTGCCACAGGTTGTGATTGTCCTGATGAAATGATACCGCCTAATATGATAGAAAAATAGAAGTCCACCCCAGCAACAAGTCTACTGGACGGCTCACGTTGAATTCAAGATCGGCGAGTTGAATGCTTTCTAGATATGACTAGTTTGGTGCGTTGAATGTCTTGTTAGGGAGATTGTTAATAAAGTTTTTCCATCATAAAACCATTAATCCCAACCCTAAATGTTGTAAATAGGAAATCGTTGTGAGCAGATGAGCAAGTTATGTTGATAACACCTTTACAGTTGTTTTCCTTTGCTCCTTACTCCGAAAACGATACCTTTGCACCTTTGTCGAGGAAGTTGTAGCATCTGAGCTGCCTTCTCAGTAATCAGGGAGGTCTGGGAACCTGATCAATCAGCGCTTGAATTTCGATATAAGTGCCATTAACACACTGTACTTTTACTAATGCTGATGCTAAGAGTAGTTTGATTTATATTGTTTTGTGACACGTTGCTAGCATGTTTATGTTGTTCTGTTCCTGAAGTCAAAGGTTTCAAAGGCCTCGTGTATGAACGTGTTGAGTAGGCCATGACGTGTTGAGTAGTGATCGTACAGACAATTGAAACAATATTTCAATTTTGCAATTGTATTTCGCCTTTCCGTGGGTTGTAATTTGAAAAATTGAAATAGCCATGGTTTTCATTTTTGCATAGTGGACATGTGACCTGTTCGCATGATTTTCGGTGTATAATTAGTGACTTGATTTTGATTGCTGGTAAATGATTTAAAATAATGAGGTTTCTTTTGATGAGATGTTGTTTCAGGCTGAGAAGATTTTGTTGTGGAGTGTTGCTTGCGTCGAGATGATTCGACGTGACGTAAATTTATTTTCCAAAAAATTTAAAAAATCTGCTTAGTTGGCAAATCTCTTGGATTCTTTAGGGATTCGATGTAATATTTGTGAGTCTAGGTTTCATCTAGGTTTTGAGACAAAACATGTACTACGAAAGGATCCCGTGAGCTTATGTCTACGCCTAGGTTTTTTATGGAATTCAGGCTTTCATTTACGCTGTCATAAATTTTCTTGATATGTGCTGCTGATTGTTGTTGAGCAATAGGTAAATTTAAAATAATATTGATATGAGACCCAAAAACTAATTTCTTATTATTGTATCGATGATTTAACAAATCCCTACAATACTTGATAGTTGTCCGAACTGATATGCAGGTGCTGTACCATTTTTTCCGGTTCCCCTCTAAGCTTACTTTTTAAAAAATACATTTCCTGGGCGTTTTGACAAGGTTCGATTGGTATGAACTGCTTCGCAAAAAAGAAATCCTTGAATTATACCCACTTATGATAATTGCTAGTGAACGTAGGTATATCTATCTGGGGTGTGGACTTTTCTCGGTGGCTTTCATACCACATCTTTGTATTGATATTTTTCTTGATTTGGTTAAATTTTTGTTCATAGAAGCTGAAAGTTTCTTCATACGCTCCATTAGAGCCATCCAATCCGCGATCGAGCTCTTAGTGTAAGGCATCGATAGCTGCCCAACGACACTGGAGAGTACGTAATAAATCTTTGAAATCGCATTTCTCTGATACTAATTTTAAATTGATATTTGATAAAGTTCGTTGAAATGCCTTAAAGTTGCTGTTCTGTTTTTTCAACATTTCTTCTGTTTTGCTCAATGTTGATCTTGTACTTATCTGTGGCGTAATTTAATTTGTTTTAGAGACAAATGTCGGTGGCTTTAACACTGGTATTCCAGGTCTATCCTCTTTCAAAGGCTGAAAGTTTCGTATATGCGCTCTAATGTTGTCAAATCTCTCCTTCAGACTTACACGTTCATGATCTATTCTTTCTCTGCTTGGTACATCCGAATCCAGTTGTGATAAATGCTGACAATTCCTCTCATACTCCGATCAATAGTTGTCCAGAGTATTTAATCTGCGTTTGGTATAGTCCGAAGTCTTCCTATCAGACCCGTCCTTCTTGAAATTGCTATACAAATTTTCAATAGCTGTTGATAGCTGCTGCTACGTAGTGAAGACATCGTTGAGAAACATCTTGATATAATGAAAATTAAATTGGAAAGATCTAACTTGATATGATTCTGCTTGCTGATTGTGCTGAGGTGGTTGGCGCGTTCGTGCTGTAGTCGTGGTATGCTGATGCGCTAATACGCTCCAAGATTCTACTGCCGGGCGGCGTTCCAAGACTCGCTACGTCCCCGAATCTTCTTGAAACTTGATGCTTGGTTACACCGGTGGGCGGAGCTTATTGATAATGATAAGAAGCTGCACACTTATTAGTACAGACCAATACGTCACTGAGCGAAAACATTTTTTCCGATCGTTAAAACCCAAATTTCAGGTCCCGCTACGGAGCTCAAAAGACCATAAAGATGTTTGGAACACCTTTAAATGATATATGATATAAGAATAAAAGATTTTATTTAAACTTAAAAATTGCGCCCGCCGCGTTCGGAATGAAAACACGACTGCTTGAAAATTAAAGTAAATGACGCAAATGATGTTGACCTAAATAAATCGCTTACTAACAAAAATATACGTTTGCGCTGTACAAAAGGGTAAAAAAATTAAGTTTCAATATTTTTTTAAACTTAATTTTTTGATGACTGGCTTCAATCTTTTATACACTATGTCTAAGCACTGACTTCAGAATCTAAACTTATTTTATTATTTTTAGTTCTTTGACTGGGCTTTTATTTTTTATTAAAAGTTATTTTTTAATAATAAAAAATTTTGTACCCTCCGGATTACCTTGATTTTAATCAATATTTTTGTTCATCTCCCATTATCCTATATTTCCATTTTCCAGTTTGGGATAGTAACCAGTTTCCTACTGGTCAATTCTACGGAGCTCAGAATCATTTGGGTAACTTCGATCAGTGCCTGCGTAGAGAGTGGTCAAACGATGATTCGATTTTCACACAGTACTGTCTCGTTGACATCACACTGGCAGATAAGGAGGTTGACAAAAAAATTACGGACTTAAATCCATATGATAGAGCTGAAAAATATTTCCACGTATGTAATCACTTTCTTTAGTTTTAACATTATTTTATTACTAAGTACATAAATTGGCGCACATAAATAAATAAGTAATAATTAAAATAAAAGAGAGAAAAAAAGAAAAGGTATTCTTTTGTGTATGGTTGGATATACATAGCTCAGTCCCGTGCTTCGTTGGGTCCTTAGGAGAGGTCAATGTTCAGCAGGGGACTTGTGATGAGCTGAAGTGATGTTGTTGATGGTAATGATGATGATGATCATGTATATAGTGTATAACCATTCAAAAAGCGAAGCTAATTTATTCTTAAATATTTCCAAATAACATTTTTGTATTGTGGTATACTCGTAATAGTTCATCTTTTTCGTTCGTTGAGGATAGTAAGAGGCTATTATAGAAAGAGCCAGTAAGATCGCATAGCTTCTGATAGATGACTTTATAGCCATCTCGTTTATGCCAAACGAAAAATGTCTGTCGGGAGACGAAGAGTAGCATCATATGTGGAAATCGTCTGGTACTGTAATCGTGGCGTTTAGAGCAAAACCTACACGTGAGAGGTCTAGCAGTGAATTGTCGATGGGCTGATAAAAATAGGGACGGGAAGCAATTTTAAAGACTTTACTTTACACTAGGATTTTCTCCTGGAGGCGGTTTACATACATGTTGAATGTATGTAAACCGCCTCCAGGAGAAAATCCTAGTGTAATTACGAAACGACAAGGACAGACCCAGAAACATTATTTGTAGGCAATATAAACACTTGTTTCGTGCGGAATACGAACTGAGCCGTCAAAAAAGTACTTTCTTCTTCTACTTTTTTATCTTAAATAATATGCTGATTCTCCTGACATTTATCATTATTTAAATTATTTTAATAGAATTAGTTTATTTTATACGTTTGTTATAACTTAAAAAGGTTAAATCTCGATTTTCATATTCTATAACTTTATCTGGATTATCAAGTCCTGTTTCAAATTATTTTTGCAGATCAAAACTGATTATAATTTAAGATTTAATATTCTGTCCTGGGGCGTGTGCATGCCAAAAGTCTGCCAAGCGAAGTCAGTTGACAGATTCACCCGCACTTTACTAAAGATCAGTCACTTGGGAACAATTAACCCCAACCCTAAAGTTATGGTTGGAAGTTGCCAAGCTACCCAAACTCCTCCAACAAATAGTAAAGGACTGTACCTACTCATGTAAGTATTTTCCACTTTACTTTTTCTTTATTATGCCTTTCGCTTCTCTTCGCTATGTTCTTATTCCTGCTTTTAACCTAAAATATTTTGGGTCGGCATAGCATGTCTTCCACTTCCATTTTCCTTTTTTAGCCGTCATCTCTTCTCATTTTCTTATGCACATCATTCCTGACACAGTTCATCTTTTCTTAGGCTTCTTCTACTCTTTTATCCAGCCACTTTTATAACCTATATCTCTCTATCCAGTTTTATACACTATTCTTGTTGCATAGTGATTTTTTTTACATATTATGTCCAGTTATATAATATATATTTACGTTTTGAAGTATACTGGAAACACAATAAGTAGTTGGAAATAAATAAATGATTACCTTTTTTTGTTTGAAATGCGATACAATAATGAGTTTACATTATTTTTATTTCATATTAACACGCGCAATCCTAGTTGTTTGTTAAATTATTAACTCGTTTATGTGTATAAATTTCAAAGAAATTATATTTCGGTGGTGGAGGATTGTTTATATCTCATAATAACTTTCCTTTATTTTCAGGCTGGGTATAGCTCTACTGGCGGTTATTGCGTGCGCATTTACGTATATTACAACCAAGTATCGAGAATCAAAATCAAACCGCATTGGTAAGTTATTCTTGCCTTCATTATATTGTAATTCAAGCATTTACGTAGGTATATGTATTTAAAAAAAGGGGAGGCCTATTTTCAGCAGTGGACTTGTGAAGGGCTGTAATGATGATGATGATGATGATGATGATGATGTATTTAAAATAGGAATCCAAAATATTTAAATTGCTTAAATATATGTTAGTTACTAATAATTCTAACACTCATCTTCCTATTCAATGTATTTCTTCGCGAATTTTTGATTCAATAAACCTGGCATTATTATTTTTATTGTAAATTTATAGTGTGTTCTCATATGGTTGGGCTGAATATATACAAGAAAATAATAAATATATATTATAATAATATACAATAATATCAACCAAAAATATACTTGCCTGTGCCCCAACCATCAGCACAATATCAGGCTTATTCGCAAGAATAGTCCTGTCTATGATGACGGCCCGGTCCCAGTAGAGCCTGGTGCGGTCGTTTTTGAGCACGGCTTCCGGCAAGTACTTGTAACAAGGCAATTCTTTATCCACGAGACCGGATTTCAGAGCGAGTTCCTGGTATGAAACCTAACTATTAGGTTGTGTCTGTGTAAATATTTAGAGTTGGAAAGCACCGAACATGCCTAAGGCACTCACCGGAATGGCGATAAGCTCAACAGATGTTGACAGTGCCATGTCTTAGGATGTGTCTCCGATAGTTGTTAGTCTTAATAACCTAATTGCACAGACGAAGCGCTCGATTTCCGCGAAGTGGTCACCAATACGTAGCCAGTGAAGGGAGGCAACTGCGTATACAAAAGGCCTTACAGAACCTCCCGTGGAGCTCCTTCTCCTTCCATACGGTCTACCGGTCGGAAATGCTCTATACTGCTTGGTCTTACCGTTGCTCGTTAGCAAAGAATAGAGGGATAAGCCCAAATGAAATGTCGTCCTTGTAGACTGGATCATCAGATCTCGCTTGGAAGTAATTACGGAGGCTGCACACTTAGCAATTATAAACGGTGAGAGTGCTTAAAAAGCTGCGCCTGCCATGTTTCCGCGACAAGTACAGCCATTACTGACGATCTCGGGTGACATATCCTATGGAACATCATAATAGTGCGTATGCCAACGGTATACATGAGGACAGTACGAAATGGGGTAGTGAACATTCAACTACTTCTACTACATGGTATACACAAATCCTTAAAAAGAGTAAAACGTGTGACAGACCACCATGATACATCGCTCCAAAACTCGCGATATCATCCATACTATCTGGATGATTGGCGGTCCACCACTATGCGATTTAAAAGATGTTTTGTTCCTTGCACAACTTCCTTGTGGAATCGATTACCACCAGCGATTTTTCCGGACCGATACGACTTAGGGACCTTCAACAAAAGAGCCTACTTCTTTTTAAAAGGCCGGGAATGCATCTGCAATTCCCTTGGTTTTGCAGTTGTTTATGGGCGGCGGTAGTCACTTATCATCAGGTAAGCCGCATGCTCGTTTGCCCCCTCTCCTATAAAAACAAATACAGAGAGCAAAAATCTAGGGTTGCTGATAGACGAAACGCTTTGCTTTGCGCGACACGTGCCCGTAATCGCACGTAACACATTTTACAGACTACGAGTTTTATACCAGATGCGTTACTTTTTGAGCTAGGATCTGTGCATTAAGCTCTGCAACTCTATTGTACTCTTCAGGCTTAACTAATTTCGAAAACTGATCGAATAATTCAATGGACAAACTGCAGAACTTGAAACAATTATTCGTAGGCCATAGGAATAATTGTTACGAGATTTATGGTCAGCAGCACCTCAACTAAAGCAATTTTGCTATCAAGGCATCAATTATGTTCTGAATCGCTTCTGAATTATTTACAGCAATGAAGATTGTCAGTGCATTCGATCTCAACAGCAATGCAGCAGACCTAGTTTCCACGGGTAAAGATGAAATCAAGGTGATGCATGGTGTCCGATTTTTAACGGCTTGCATCGTGGTGTTCCTTCACGTAATGTTTATTTATATAATGGCCAAAGTTGGAAATGGTTTAGACATGAATGATGTAAGTTTTTTTATTTTTTTTTATTTAATTAGCACTTGATTCTGTGTGAACAAATAAGAATTTGTCGTTTTATTCCGAACACTTTTACGTGGTAGAGCCATGCTGCAGCTATATTAGTAATATGGTTGTAAGCAGGAATGGGTCGGCTCAACCGGGGAAGGACCACGCTCTCACAGAATACCAGCGTAAAATAGCAGCTTAACACTGCTGTGGTTCATATGGTGAGTGTAGTATAGAATTGTAGATGTCTATGAGCCACAGCAACCACTTACCATAAGGTGGACTGTGTGCTCGTTTGTCACCCTATCCTATAAAAAAACACACGGAAATCCCTATCAGCTTTCTGCCGAGGATTGGTAGATACAACTCTCTTACCTATTTCTGCTGTTGAATTTCCATTTAAGTAAAGGGTAAGAGGAATTATGCAGTTACTGGGCACGAGTCTTTTTTTTTATTTATTAGAGGTAACAACGCTACAGGTATTTTATTTGTTTTGAGGTTTGATTGCCCCTGTACTGCAGCAGTCACTTGCCATTAGGTTGGCTGTTGCCCGTTTTCATTCTAATATATAAAACTAGGAATTTCTATCACTGTATGTGACCATGGTTGTTATGAGCTTGACTTAGATTAGAACGCTTTAAATATAATCAAATAGATTATTTAAGACGATATGCGAAAAAAATCTCGCCGTCGAATGGGCGGAGTATAACTCTGTCAGGATGGTGCACAATCTCTACAAGCTACAACACATCGCGGAGATCGTATGACGCTATCTGTATAGAAATAGAGTATGCATGGACTCGCGTGCGAATTGTTTAGTTTTTTTTATGTTACTGTAATATTTAAAGAAAAATTTAAGATGAAGATAAATATTTTATGTAAAGTTTATGTAACTGAATTAATTTTACGCCAAAAAAAATTTCGAATGTAAACGAAATATTACATAAGTTGATTTTTAATGTATATCATAAAAACTACCGTTTGACCCATTATGATCAAACTATGGTGGGTGGTTGTGTGTAGGATTAGAAATATCGGTATACTGAATTCATAATTCGATATAATTTCAATTCATCGTCACCAACTCAAGTATCGACTTTGGCATTGTGCATTTTAAGTTGATAGTGTTGAAGTGATAATTTATATGAAAAATATTTTTATAATATATATATAATAAATTTAATAAAAGTATAGGGTGCATTTCAATTTGCAGAGTAGAGTTAATTGTTCCAAAGTTTGATAATTATCTCTATTCTATTCTTCAGATATCACTATTCTACTCAAATGTAGATAAGTGTGACATAAGTCACTGACACCATCCACGGAAGCAAGAAAAGCAGGCAATGCAACTCTTGAAATATTTCTTACATAAATACCACCAAATTTATAGAAAAAGCAGCTTGAGTCCAGGCTGTTGTATTTAAAGTTGAATTTAGAATTTTTTTCTTTACCTATTTTAAGGTTATTATCAATATCTTTTAGAATATCCAAACATTTCCAAACTGGACTCAAACGAAGTTAGTATGTAAATCAAGATTCAAGGAGACAATATTTTAAAATAGTAAGAGCAATTTGGGGGTTTTTAATTTATACAATTTATCAAAGTGGCTTAAAAAACTGGTCAAATTTTGTTTTTAAAATAGGTTTAGTACTATTGAAAAACAAGCGGGCATCTAACAGGTATAGCGATTCCGTACTGACTGTTGATACAATTTAGACACTGCAGGAAATCCGGCTGTGATTGTAGCGGAGCGGAGATATTTATTAAAAAATCTAAACAGATATCTACAGCACTAAAAATTCTTTATATGATATATCTTCATATTGACTTGAAATGTCCTGTACCCCGCATCTTTCCACAATCGTTTACGGCCTAAATAAAACATTTTGCTCTATAAATGACTCTCCAGGATTTATTTCATATTGACATCGATCACTAATAAAAATTAGTGATCGATGCATATTGATAAAAAATTGTATGTAATCGTTATTTTTTGACAGCTAATAACGATTTTCCTTTATAAATGGGTATAATGTTATAAATAATATATATATATATATATATATATATATATATATATATATATATATATATATTCTTTTTTACTTTGATTTCTGATTGAGTGATATCAGATTTATTACATACATATCAAATGTGATCAATGTTAAATTGTTTGAATGTCACCGCTTTTATTAAACAAATAGGAAATCTAAAGCAAACACACGGTTGGCGTCTCTAAGCTTGCGTCTCTCACCTTGCTAATGTACGGGTTGTTTTACTTTATTTTCTTGTTCCAGTCTTTTTTCTCTGTCGTTTTTGGATTCCAAGTAAGATGGCTCTCGGATTGATCTCTTACTTGTAAATCGCTAGTCGACCAGTTCTGGCAAAACGCAGTCGAAATAGAAGGACGATAATTTGGGCTCCATTCGTTCCCACCAGAATTGATCAACTTTATCAATTGTTTAAATATTTTTTGATATTTTGCATATATATGCATTTGCCCTTGTACTTGTTTTGACCTTCCATAAATGCTTTTTTCCTTTCACAATACGCCAGTTTTAACTCAGTTATCTCTATGCCTCCTGATCTTTCCCGCAATGACGCAATGTTTTGGTGAAATTATGACTTATTTCTGTTCAACAAAGATAAATTCTTAGTTAACAAAATAATTTTTCAAAAGTAGCTTTTATTGTTTCATCAAGGAAATTTTAAGGAATTAATTAAGTTGAAAAAAAAAACAACCCAACTGACCGATAATCTCAGAAATATAGAGTGTGATAGTACAATATTAGTTATTGAATGCGAAAAGAGCAAACCATTAGGCCAACGCAACATCGAAATAGTTAACATAAGCGAAAAATAATTCAATATTGTATTTCTTAAAAACTAACAAAATTTATTTAGGTATGATTCATCTTGCATCTTGATATGTCCTAGATTCGCACATAAAACGTTATTGGTGGATTAAAAGGGCTCACAAGGGTGGATCAAAAGTTTCACTAATCGTGTTTTTGGTTTTAATTTGGTTAGATTATATCTTCAAGTAATCATTACTGTAATATGTAGTCTTTACCTATTGCCGTTACTAAGAAAAGTATGATATTACGAGACTAAAAAAATCGCATAATATCGCCTTAACTCTCACTGCTATTTTTTATAGAATATGGGTGATAAACGAACACACATTCCATCTGATGATAAGTGGATGCTGTGGCTCATAGACATCTGCATTTGTCCTCGCTTAAGAATCAAAATGCAGATGCTCTGTCACTCGTGAGGGCTAAGATAGAATGACTACTTTTCAGTAAAAAGGTTCTCCGGTTCTCTACGCTACCATACGAAACAGCAGCGCAAGTGATAGCTTGGTCCTACCTCGGTCCAACCGTCCATTCGAACAACAGCTATAATATAGCTGCAGCGTGGCCCTGCTACATATGAAAAAATCACAAACAAAAATAATTGATATAAATCTCCAAGATCCAGAGAAAAAGTTTACATATTTGTGAAATTATTTAAACACACCCATAGTAAATACTGAAAGCAAAACAAAAAACGTTATGCATACCGCTGTTACGTACAATTTCACCTAATGATGGCCACAGAATCCACTTACCATCAGGTGAACTGTGTGCTCGTTTTTTTACTCTTATTCTATAATCTTCTAAATCTTATAGTTTAATATAAAAATAAAAAAAAAACAGTGAAGCACAAACGCAATAAAAATTTTTAATGGAATATAACACATTGGATTTAGAAAAAATCGATTAATAAATAGATGGATGTTTTTTTGAAATTGATAATATCGCATCAAAAACATAAATTTGTAAAAGATACAACGACGTATTGGTAGACGAAGGCATTTCCAGCTTCGCTGATAAACGGTTTGAGATCTGCTCTATAGCAGATTCAAGAATTTAACACGTTCCTATAGTTGCCATGATTTGAGCAACTAAATCAAACGTCTTTTGTAGTGATTTTTCTATATCTATATCTATCCTTTTTTATAATTTATGTTTTTATGAGATTAACACTAACATATAACTAATTAGGCAATTTATAAACCTATAAACAATACACAATAATTTACACGAGCCACTTCCACTAAATATTAAATACAAAACAAAAGGTTAACATCTTTAATTGGTTGGAAATTGTATTTAATTAAATTTATTATATAACATTCAAATGTATTCATACAATATTTATTACTTTAATAAAAGTTATAAAACCAAAAACATGAATTATAATACAGTCCTACACCCCGCGGTATAGTGCCCAGAACGCTGGCTACGATTCCTCGCTAAGTGGCTATGCTTAGCCTTTGAGCGAAAAAAGAACCAGCCCACTTATCACCAGCAGCGATGATCAGTCGCGTATACAGTGCCTTTAAGAACTTCACTGCACGTGAACCCACGGACCGATAGTCTCTACAGCAAATGACATAGATGTGTAGTCTTTTTATAGAATGAGGGTGAGAAACGAACACATAGTCCATCTGATGGTAAGTGGACTCCTGAGACTAAGAGTGAACGCCTCGTTTTCATTAAAAAGGGTCTCAAGTTTTCTACACTACGGATACAAAAGACACAGTCATCTCTTAAATACTTCATTATTTTATGACTTCACTTAATATTTTGATTAAATTTGGCTAATATTAGAACTTTAACTGATGTTTAATCAATTACTTAAGGTTTAAAACCGTGTTTCAGGATTTCATACGGCATGCAGGTTACCTGTCGCACACAAGCGTGTTGGTAGATACTTATTTTATGATGTCTGGACTTCTTCTGATGAAGAGCTTCAAGCCGGAGACAGGGAGATCGATAAGTCCGTTTAAAATATTGTTGAAACGATATTTCAGGTATGAAATACTCGTAAATATTACAAGTAAATATGTACTAATGTTGGTGACACTCTCAGTGAATTTCCGGTCTTGATGCAATTATTTTTCCAAGATTCAACTATAACCACGCTGCTATATTATGGATATAGCAATGACCATGCTCTTTTAGAATTCATTCATTCAATCACTCAGTTCGGCCTATCAAAGTCCCTTGCTGAACATAGGCCTCCCATAGATTGCTTCATAAGTGTGGAGTAAAGTTACAACCTCTATACGTCCCACTTTACCACGCTGCCTCAATACGAGTTGGCGTACCTCACATGTCATTGAAATATTTTTTTAATTTCTCAGACATTCAGGTGTCCTTGCGATTTTTCCCTCGACCGCCAACCACATGGTAAATTAGCACATAACATTGCAACTAATAATTTCATTCGTGCTTGTGGGGTTCGAATCGGGTTGCTTGCATACTGTGAAATTTACTGCGAGCGCTTAGCCCCTGAGCTGCTACGGTTCTCTGTAAGGGTTATTTGCCATTACACCCACGCCAGGGAGTTTTCTTGTCATTTTTATTGTTATTAGGAAGATAATGCTGTCCATTTCCTGTTTTAGTTATCCTCAGTCACCTCTTACGACAACCTTGGTATGCTATGGGATAGTGGATTTCCTTACGCAGCTACTATATGGCGATAGTTTTTACTTTAACATCACTTTAAAAGCCAATCTATACAAATAAATAAAATTAAAATGTCTGTTAGTAATGTCGAAATAACAGCTTTTTTACTATATGCAAATGAAAATATATACGGTACTTATAACAAAATCACGATTCTTAAAATTTTTGTCTGTCTGTCTGTCTTTTTGTTCCGGCTAATCTCCGAAGCGGCTGGACCGATTTTGACCGGACTTTAATTGGCAGATAGCTGATGTTATAAGAAGTAAGTTAGGCTACTTTTATTTTAGAACAAAAAATAGGGTTCCGCGCAAAAATTAAAACCATGAAATCCATTCGTAATAAATTACGAACAATATATATATATATATATATATATATATATATATATATATATATATATATAATAAGGGGAACAGCTACTTGTAAATAAAAGGCCTCTCGCGTATACATGCATAGTACCATAACTCACCAGTCGTGCAGACGGAATGTATAGCGCATGGCTATTCTTGATGATACTTCTCAATATCATCATAATTACAACTTATCACAAGTCCACTGCTGAACAAAGTTCTCCCCCAAAGGAGGCCACAAAATACTCTACTAAGCCGCATTCATCCGTCGGCTTCCTTTACAATTGCCGGTACGAAACTGCCATTCAAGAACCTTTTTTTCCCATTGGTTATGGGTTCTTCGAGACTGAAGCAGGGTCTAAATTAACAACTCAAAATAAAAAAAACTACCTGCCCAGCATGGCCACTAAGGCAAAACCCTCGCTATGAGACAATCTATGAGGGAGGCCTATGTTCAGCAGGGGACTTTTATAGGCTGTAATGGATGATTCGTTGATCTATATCAGTCACTCTGGTTCTACTGCGTATATTCTTATTACGAAGTCCATTATCAGTCCGTAAATTTTAAGTCGCCAGAATCTTGTACTCATACAGCAGACATAACTACTCCTATACTACTCTATTTCTTTCACACAGGTTTGTAAAATTAAATAAACCCAAGCACAGCTTTTTTTTACGTAGTAGAGCCATGCTGCAGCTATATTAATAGTATAGTTGTAGCACGAATGGGTTGGCTCGACCGGGAAAGGACCACGCTCTTACAGAATACCAGCGTAAAATAACAGCTTAACACTGTTGTGTTTCGTATGGTGAGTGTAGAGAAGCGGAAACCCTTTTTACTGGAAAAGAGGCATTCCACCTTAGTCCTCACGGGTGACAACGCATCTGCATTTTGATTCACAAACGAGGATAGATGTAGATGTCTATGAGCCACAGCAACCACTTACCATCAGGTGGACTGTGTGCTGTAGCGTCAAAACTGAAACAATATTAAAAATGTTAAAAATTAATTAGCTAAGATACGCATAATAAAATAAAACTGATGAGTATTACCTAATTTGAAGAGCACCTTCCGCCCTCCTTCAATTGCCGCTAATTGGTGCCTGATTGCTAAGTCTAAGTGACTTAGCGGTCAGCCATAGAGGGAAAATAGGCGTGGCGAAACACGGGTCGTATTATCGACGGTGGTGTGTCTTACCTAGTGTAGTGGTGTTAGTAGTAGTGCTGGGATTATTGGTGACGGGGATAATGCAAACAATTGAGAAAGAGCGGGAGGTACCCTTTAAACTAGTTAAGATACATAATGATTTCTTATATTCAAGACATTTCGTCCTTGTTACGTCGAAGCTCAGCGCCAAAATTAAATCTTCCCAAAGATGAATTTACTGCATTAAAAAACTTACGCAACAGACCATATCTTACGATTCTCCGCGCAGATAAAGGTAATGCTACGGTTATAATGGATACGTCGGATTACAATTTTAAAATACAACAACTTTTATCGGATGAAAGTACGTACGTAAAGGTCAAAACAGATCCTACAACTAATACGCTTAAAACAACTAGCGATCTAATAAAGAAATACTCCGAGAAACTGAATCTAGACGTAAATTCGATAATACCTACGTGTGCCAAACCGCCGAAGTTGTATGGGTTACCAAAAATACACAAACCGAACGCTCCATTACGTCCAATAGTGAGTCAGATCGATTCGCCAACTTACAGATTGGCTCAACACTTAGCAAAAGTACTATCACCACTCAGAGGACATACAAGAGCACACACTAAGGATTCATACCATTTTGTCAGTGAGATAAAAGACCTATGTCTTACTGACAATGAAACTATGGTCAGTTTTGATGTTCAGTCTCTATTTACATGCCTACCTGTTGAAGACTGCATCTCAATTATAACTAGGAAACTAGAGGAAAACAACATGCCAGCAGAATATGCAGTATTACTCAGACATTGCCTTACATCTGGCTACCTATTGTGGAAGGAACAGTTTTACAAGCAAGTAGATGGTGTTGCGATGGGCTCACCGGTATCTCCCATTGTCGCCGATATTTTCATGGAGGACTTTGAGGAGAAAGCCCTGCTTACTGCACCAGTAACTCCAAGTTTCTACAAGCGGTACGTAGACGATACTTTCACAATTTTACCATCAGACAAAGTAACTGCATTTTTAGAACATCTTAATTCCATAAACTCTAAAATTCAATTTACTATGGAGTTAGAGGCAAATAATTCTTTAGCTTTCCTAGATGTGTTAGTCATTCGAAATCCTAATAACACCGTAGGTCACACTGTGTATAGAAAAAAGACCCATACAAACCGATACTTAAACGGTGAATCCCACCATCATCCTTCACAGTTAGCTACCGTGGGCAAATCTTTGTTGCAGAGAGCACGAGGGATCTGTGACAGCAAACACCTGGCCGCCGAGCTTCAGCACGTCAAGCAGGTTCTGCACGACAACAAGCTTCGGGTTCCGCGCCTTCGTCACAGTGACCGAGTGAAGCCGGCCACAGTCGAGCGTGTGCCTGCTGTACTACCATATGTCAGAGGTGTCACAGACAAGATTGGCTACATCTTGAAGCGAGCTTCTATTAGAACATTCTTCAAGCCGCCGAAGAAGATTAGTCAGTTCTTACCATCCGTCAAGTGCAATATTCCTCTACAAGATGCAGGAGTATACAAGCTTGATTGTGAGTGTGGTCTCTCATATATAGGGCAAACAAAACGATCAATAAAAACCCGCGTAAAAGAACACATAGCTGACGTGAAGCACCAACGTTCCGGGAAGTCTGCAGTTTGTGATCATATCCTAGACGGCCCCCGTCATTACATTAGATTTGATAAACCACAAGTCCTCGCGAAAGAACATCGATTCCTGCCAAGGATGATACGTGAGGCTATTGAAATTAAAAAACATCCTAATTTCAATAGAGAGGGAGGCTGGGTACTACCACCTGCTTGGGATCCTGTAATTCATAAAATTAAAACTAAACCCAAGCATACCACTGTAAGACTTCAAGACACAGTTAGTTCATTCTGCGTAGATCGGACCAAAATTAATAATTAAAAAGCTGAAGGTACTCCGGGTTAACTTTGACATCGGGACGTCAATCACCTCAGTCCCCCGTGACCACGGTTGCTGGAAAGCAACCGAAACGTCGGGAATATAAAAAAATAAGTAAATTAAACGCGATAAAATCCGTAAAAATAGTTTTATTCAATAGTTAAGATACATTATTTTATTTTATTAACATCTTTAAAATAATGAATTCCCGCAATATAACTCCTGATTTTATGATTCTATTAATTAACTGAGACAAATTAGCCTTTAGATCACATTTTAATTTTTGTTGTAGGTTAATATGGTTCTTTATTGTCACAATCATAATATCAATCACTGCCTCACCTTACCTTTACGGCGGTCCATTGTGGTTTAAATACGCAAAAGTGGAGCAGGATGTATGTAAAAAAAATTGGTGGTTGGGACTGCTGATGTTGGGCAACTACATCGACTCTTCAAATATTGTAAGTTTCTTGATATTGGTGAAAGGATGTGTTTTTAAACTACCTTATTTAAAAAAAAAACTTTTATTCTTAGTGTAATGAGGTGTCGTGGTACGTACCGGCCGATTTTCACTTGGCTGCGGTTAGTACAATTATGTATTGGCTGTATCAGAAAAATCGTCGCGGTGGTCAGTACTTCTTTGGACTTGTTACAATCGTTTCATTAATTCTGCCTGGGCTCAACACGTACTTAAATCAGCTGAGTGCTATAACCGTCTTTGATTTTGAGTGAGTTTTCTTATTTTCATATTATATTTTATAGAAAATAATGTTTTTTATACGCTATAAATTATTTACTAGATAACACTACTTGAATGTGCATTTTTAATTTACCATTGGTTCTAAAATATTGTTGTCTCGAGAAGAACTAGCACAAATCGGATAGATATGTTAAATCGTTTATACTAATGGTTTCAATATTTAAGAAACTTTTCATGGTTTATGTTATCTTATACCGCTCTGTGCCGCATGTATTAATATTAGCAATCCAATACAGAGAGAAGAAACAGCGTTAATATGTACGTCGTACGAGTGGGTTGGCTCGACCACGATAAGACCGCGCTCTCACATAATATCAGCGTGAAACAGCGGAATAATGTTGCTATGTTTCGTGTGGTGAGTGTACACAACTGGAGGTACTTTTTGTCCGTTACAAGGCATTCCATCTTAGTCTCATAACTTTTTACTGGGTGGACCCATTTCGATGATTCTTTTTTTATATGAAAGCTGATACTTTTGGTGTGGTCCGATATGAATTTGATTAAGGTCAAACCAATAGTTTTTGAGTTATTTGAGTTATTCTTAATAACTTATATTGAAGTCGGCTGTACAAAATTTTTAATTTTAAATTATGATTTTGAATTGGAAATAGATGTAGATATTTATGGACCATAGCATCCACTTACCGTTAAGTTTAAATCCAATTATAAATATTTTTCATAAGCATAAATAATGCGCAATTATACTTCAGTACAAAAAAGTATTATGACTTTTTGTAGTGAAAGTTTTTACGGGAGGGCTTTGAAATTCTGATCCGCAACTTGATATTTTAAAGAACCGTTTTTTTCTGATGATTTATTCCCTTCATTTATTTGATATGTTATTTATAACTTCTATTACAGGACAATTGGAAATAATCGTAAATACATATTGGGCTCACCGATGTATGTACAGAGTCACTTGCGAGCAGTTCCTTACTTTATAGGTCTAATAGCAGGCTACATTCTCTCCGTGTATAAACCAACCAGCTACAGAAACTTACTATCATTGGTATGGTCAAATAACTCATTTCTTTTTTTAAGATAACAATTGCAAACGCCATGAATGTGTTTTTGCACAAATTATGATCTAGCTAGTTAGGTACTCTTATTATTAAGTCACGCCGTCCACTATACCTATAGGATAAATATTAATAAAATTAAAGGGTCTGTATTATATTGTATATTGAAATAACTGGCTTCTATTAAATTAAGGGGGTTATGCACATGATATTAACATAAATAACCATTTTTAATTTTTTGTCGGCCTGTCTGTCTAGACTAAACTTCGGAATGGTTGCACCCGTTGTGATGAAACTTAATAAACAGATAGAAAGCAATGCCCGGTGAGATCTGGACTATATTTTATCCGAAATAATTGACATTAACAGATCCTGTCCTGGAGAAGCCGGGTCGAATCGCTAGTATACAATAAAGCCGTTATTATCAAATTTAAAGTACTTTAGATAAAATGATCACTTGTTATATTTTGAGACGTGAACGTGGATAAGGGAATCCGTGTGTTAAATGATGAATTTGTGTTAACTGTGATAAGTATAAACGAAGAATAAACTTAAACTAATAGCCAGTTTCACACTTCACCGTTCTTACGTATGGAGAAGCAGGAATAGTCGACGCCAGAGTGTAAGACTTAAGTAAGAAAACCGCAAAACATGAGATGAAATCAATTTTTCAGTTGGACGACAGGAATTGGCCTTCAGCTACTATATAAAGCACTAGACAACGTACTAGCAAATTTAAAAAAAAATATAAGATTAGTCTGACAATTTAGGATCAAACACTTATTTTTAATTATATTTATTAATTCCCGGATTTTTTTTAGAAATATTCAATTCTCAGTTTCATTACAATTATGGCATTATCTGCAACAATACTGGTCATGGGGCCAGCGTATCGATTCCGCGAATACAATGTCATTGAATCTTCATTCTTTGCCGCATTAAATAGACCCATTTGGGCTAGTCTTATGGCAGCGTTTATTTTACTGTGCGAATACGGAACTTTACGTAAGTATTTTCTAAAAGTGAGTAAGTAAAATACATAATATTTCACAGTCATCCTCTCTCTGATTATTTTATTCCTGGGCGGGTTCCATGGCGAGGAGGAATTAAGTTCCTAATTTGTTTTTGTTTTACATGCAACCTGCCTAAACTTGTTATTCCCAAGTATAGGCTCCATAAAACTTGCTGTTCGTTTAAGGGTAGATGTAAAACTATTTATAACAAGATACCCCGTAAAAAGCTTTCTAATGAAAAAAAGTTACGATAAATGAAATTATTATTTAAGAGATAAGAATGCTTGGACATTATAAGTTTTCTTAGATTTTCATTATTTGCATATATATATATACGCAAATTATATTAAGGGTTGGTTGTTTTTTCTCTTATTTTCATATAACATCTTAACTATTACTTATCTTACTTATCTAAACCATTAAGATCTCGTCTTACATTTGTTTTAAAAATTTTAACACCTACGAAATTTATTAACATATCAACTTAATATTCAGTGCTATTGGTGTCTAAAAAAAATATTTTACTCACCTATAACAACGAATCCGGATTTCGATTGGCCAAAGTATTCACTTACCATCAGGTGGACTATGTATACGTTTGGTACCCTTATTCAATAAGAAGATAGATGTAAGGTACTTATGGACAGCGAGTTATTTTATCATGGTCCTAAGGAATATTCATCAGTAGTTTGTTTAAAGTTTATTGATAGTTGCTGTCTCTTACCTACTGATGAACTATTAGATTGTTTATCGCTGGAATGTTATAAAAATGAGATCGAGACCGAAAAAAATCTAAATCAACAAATTCTAATTGTCTGAATGTTCTCTATTTTCTAGCTCACATCACTGACTTCTTAAGCTGGTCGGCATTCGTGCCCCTAAGTAAGCTCTCCTACGGGGTCTACATGTGTCATTTCTTCTTAGTTATGAGGCTTACGTTAGATTTGCGTAGTCCGGCATGGCATGACTTGTACAAAATTGTAAGTTTTTTTTTAAATTAGATTATATAATATACTTACTGCCTTTACATTATTAGGATTGCATTCTATAAACGTATTTGCGTGGATTCTTATTTTGAACTCAGTTGAACATAATATGAATGCAAAAACATAATAATTTGTTTCCAAGAAATTTATTTTGTGATTGTCCCCTTGTCTGTTATACTTTATCATCATGGCCTACCTCTAGTAATACCTGACAACTATAATACTAGTTCTCTAATGATTGTTTTACTGTAATAATACCGTAGTACTACAAATATACATACCATTAAAATCGTTACATCAGACATGGTTGGATTAAGATGTACTAGTATCTTCGTGTCATGCACTTACTTATGTCTACTATAATCGATCGACGGGCTCAGCCATATGAAGACCTGGTGCCACATCGGTAGCGAATGAGTCAACAGTATAAGTTACGCGTACGATATGGTGCTGTGACCCCTTCGGTCAGCGCTATCAGAAAAATGCTAAGTGTCTCCGAAACCTACGCTGTTGCTCATGGCTTAGTGTACAATTGCAAAAAAGCGAGTACATGGTTTTTGTAACCCCATTAAATTATATGGGTCGCCCCTTATTAGACTGATGCATTTAAAATATCCAGGTCCTCAACATAGTACGTAGGACCTCAAGACGACATAGATATGAAAAGAGAGCACAGGGCGCTGTCGATTAGGGCAAATATGTTTGCTCACAGATTTGTTGTTATACGCCTATTAAGTTTATACTCTACAAAGCCTACTGGATCTCTTTTTACTCGAAGAGTCTGTGTTTCAAGTATGTAGAAATATTTTAATGCTCTATACAGTATAGCAATGTCTTCAGGGCATTGTTGGGGCAGCCACTGCTGTTTGCATACTCAGGGGTTTACAGTTTCCCAACCATACTGCGTAAAAAAGAAGGCTCACTATTGAGGCGTATTCGCAGTAGATGCAGCAATGTCCTGCAAGCCATCGTCAACTGTGGGGACTCGATTCTAGTCGAGCACATGTGCCAAACTACTTTTATAAAATTATTTATTAAGTCCTAACATAGATTATAAGTCTTTTTGTTACTAGCATTAATGGATCACTGTTGTCCGATGCAATTTTTTTTTATACGATCTTCTGCGCACATCACAGAAGTATTTGGAACTGCTTAGTTTGCCAGCCTTAATTATTAACTAAATAAATGAATTTTTGGCCTTTGCCACAAGAATCACGTATTTTTTTCGTTTCAGCTGCAAGATTCAATGGGCATTGTTGTGATTTCTTATCTGCTGAGTTTGTTTATGGCGTTGTTCATCGAGTCCCCATTGAACAATTTAGTGGCTTTTGTACTAAAAACTAAGTAAGTTAACTTGTGCTAAGTTATAAATTTATTATTAATATTACATAAAATTTACATTAGAGAATATTTTTGGAAGCTATTTCTTAACTACTTAATAATGATTGAAATACTTGATATCTTACTGTAGTAAATACTTGCTTACTTAACAAATATAAAAAAGTATGGTTACAGCTATTATACGGCCCACTGCAATCTCTTCTCAATTCTGAGAGAATTTTAAAACCGGGTAGAATTCGAACCACTGCTGTAGCGAACTTCACATCGTTATTTATTCTTTTAATTTCTGAAGACATTTCTGCTACTTTCCTTCACCTCCGAGCAAATAGTAAATCATCAGTAACTGTAATTAACAAATGTTTTGGTAATGGTTAACAAATTTCATCATAAGTATTATGTTCTAGGCCACCAAAACCGAAACAAATTAATACTGACAAAAGCGACACCGGGACTCTTAATAGTGATTCATTAAAGAAAAACGGTATCAATAAAGTGGCTACTGTAGAGGAAACTGGATTTGAATCAATGAAAAATGAATTTATAAAAGATAATGCTGCCCTACATTTGAGTGGTGTAGACAACAGTGTATATAGTGCAAAACAGTTTGAAGTATCAAATAAGAATAGAGTTGAATCACAAAATTGTACTACAGAAGAAAAAGTATGGAAAAAGAAATTTTAGAATCTATATTAAAACGACCAAAATTGCTGCGAAGACTGGCATTAATAGAATATTACTAAACCTTACTTTATAACTTGCATTTTTATTAATTAAAACTGCAGGAATAAAATTAATTCAACTGTAATATTATTTTTAATTTAATACTCGTACACTTTTGACACTTATAGCTGACCTTAAAAATCTATACATATAATAAAACTGTAAATGGCAGATGTCTGTACATTTTATATTTTTGTAATAAAAGTGATTGAGGGGTACTAAAAATAAGTAATAAAATACATTTCTACCATTTTTAGAATTTTCTGTCTGTCTGTCTGTCTGTCTGTTTGTTTGTTAACGTATCACGTATAAAGTACTAATTTATATCATAAGAATTGTTAAGTAAATTATAAAGTGTATCTTCGGGTTACATTTAGTCTTTATTTCATTAAAATCAGTTCATTCCATCAAAAGTTATGATAAATATTCTGAAATATGGGTAGGGAAGTATAGGTACGAATTTGCTCAACGGTGGCTTTGTTTGAGTCATCAGGTGCATTTTAAACTAATATCATATCATAAATCATAGTTAAATTATGTAAAATAATGATATAATTATGTATATCTAAAACGCAGTAAACAAAAGTATTAAAAAACGTATTAAATATATTATACAAAAATATATTAACCTTATTAACTAAATCTGAAGCACAATAGTTTTCCCATTTCTTCGATAGATGGTGGTGTTGTGAAAATGTAATGTAATTGCAATGTTTTTTTTTCCTGTAGATGAGTTTTCATATTTACTGCTAATCTTTATTATATTACTCGCTGCCCTACTGCGTGTTGACAAACTCAATTTATTCTTTACCGCCGAGTACTCTATGTGGTAAATCAAATTTTAAAAGAGCTATTAACAAATCGTTGGTTCTGGCGAGAGTCAAACTTTATTTTTTGCTTACTGTGCAGGCACTGATTTATAAGTTCTCTTGCGTTTTATATAATGTATCAATCGCGTCAATTAATCTCTTTTATTTTTAGAATTGATGTTAGCAGCGCCATCTCTCTTTAAATATATACATATAATAAAAATGATGATAACATATTGTGTCTCTTTCTGTACATTGTATAGGTATATATTTTGGTGGCTAAAATCATTATGGGGAACTGAAAATAATTAAATAAGAACATTTTATAATTTTTAGAATTGTCTGTGTGTCTATTTGTCTGTTATTATATGAACGCATCACGTCTAAAGTAAACATCTTTTATTTTCATCTGCGTATCTTCGAGTTACATGTAATCTTTGTTTTATTAAAATTGGTTAATTCTATCGAAAGTAATGATTGTTATTTTGAAATGTAGGTTCGAATTTGTTCAATGGCGCCATAAAATCTCAGAAATAAAAATAAAAATATTTGTGTGTAAAAAAAAACGTTCCATAATTAATATATTTATACTTAAAACACAAAAAGAGATTTAAAAAGGATGTTTTCTCACACAAAGGACGTAATAGATGGAGTTGTACAAATTACAAACTTTTCTGAATTGCTGTGTTGAGATTTTTCGCCGATGAATCGTATTGAGAGTTACTGAAGAAATTTGTATCCATCGAAGCCATACAACGGAATCCGACCAAAAATAAAAATTTTGCAACGAAATGTCGTGATATTGTATTTATAATATACGCAAAATCAGTACTGCCACTTTAGAGCTTTGGGAACTAGATTTAGAGCTTTTTTGGAATGTATAGCGCGCATTTCGAAATTTTAGCACCTAGCTTAATCCAGCGCTTTTTGGTGTATTTAGCACACATTTCAATATTTTAGCGACTAGCGGGTTATTAACTCTTTTATAGCAGCACTGTTAGTCCACGTTACGATAATAATAATAATGACCTTTATTATTTTTTCCCACAAATAGTACATTGCAGTTTATCTTTTTCAAACATATTTTTTCCACAAAACAAAGAGCATGGGAGACGAGTCCAAACTAGGATACCCTGTGCTATGGATCTCCTGGCTTCCCCTTTAGGATGATCAACTTGATTTTTTTACCGAAGACTATAAGCGGGAAAACCCCTTTATTAAAGTTTTTGTTCATGGTTTTGACAACGCATTTATTTTTCTTTATTCAGTTTCAGTCAGTTGCTTAAAGCACAGCTAAGTTAAAAGTTACTTAGAAGTTATAACACAAAGAAACTGTGTAGCAACCGCAATCAGATGCTGACATCTGAAACTAAGTTGCGAAATACATTGCACTTTAAAACAATTAATGACATTTTTATTGTTCGTACAGTACTAACTACTGTTGACAGCAATTGCCATAATTATAAGTCGATGTCCTGCGAAGTATTGATACATCAAAAAAATATTGCCAGAAAAAAAACTTAATGTTGTTTTCTTTATTATGATTATATAAAAAAACACAAACTTTGTTTGTAGTTAATTTAGCGCGAAATCTAGGGCTTTTTTAAAGCGCTGTTTTCATGAAATCTAGCGCTTTTTGTGTTGTCCTAGAGCTGAATTAGTTTTTTTTTATCTGGCAGCACTGCCCAAAAACCCTCTATTAAGAAGTAACTTTCCTTTCAGTTTTAAGCGCGTTCAGTTCCCAGTTACAGTGAGCGTGTGTTATGCGATGACCGTAAATAAAGCGCAAGGTCAAACTTTACGCGTTGTAGGAGTGTACCTCAGTACTGACTGTTTTGCACATGGCCAACTCTATGTTGCTTTTTCCCGCGTTAGTAGCCCCCGTAACCTTTTAGTGTACACCCCGGCTAAGCCTACTACTCACGTCGTTTATACAGAAGCTCTATCATAAATGACTTAGAACTTTGATGATAATGATTTATTTAGTTACCACTTATTGATACAGTAATGAAATAAATAAAAAAAAATAAACGACAAATTGTTTATGTAAAACATGTATACGCGAGCTACGCCGCGGGCACAGCTAGTATAACAATATAATTACGTTTTCGCGTTTTGCTGTCAGATGTAGTATCTGTGCTGAAAAGAGCTAAACTTAACTCACATAATTTATCATATTTATAGAATAAAAACCCGCTCCGGATTCATCTGGTAGGTTTATCGTCAAAGACATATTTTAATAATTTTGTAAATTTTTCGATTGATCAAAAAAATCTCTAAGTTTTTGGATAAAATAAAGCATATACCAGACTTTTTTATAAGATAACGATGACAAACGAGCACACAGTCCACCTGATGGTAGGTGGTTGCTGCGGCCCTTAGCCATCTACATCTATCCTCTATTTCAAATCAAAATGCAGATGCGTTGTCACCCGTGAGGACTAAGATGGAATGCCTCATTTCCAGTAAAAAGGGTCTCCGGTTCTCTACACTCACCATACGAAACATAGCAGCATTAAGCTGCTATTTTACGCTGTTTTTCTGTGAAGGCGTGGTCCTTCCCCGGTCGAGCTGACCCATTCATATTACCACTATACTACTAATATATCTGCAGCATGGCTGTACCACGTAATACAATTTTGGTTTACAATTTTATCCAAATAAAGTGTTTCTTTTTTATTCTAATAAATAGAAGCAATGCTATTAAGATTACTAATATTCCCTTTAACTACTCCTAGTAAGCTTAAATTGCTTGTGTTAGGAGTGGTTCACGACAGTAGTCGAATGGCTGATTCAAACCCACGACCTTTTGAGTTCGCGATAGGCGCCCTGCCATTAGGCTAGTGTCGCTTCAGATTATATATTTATCTTCCATTTGTTAACGTTTTGATGCAAAAATGTTTTTTATGAGACCTTTTTACGTGAAATTAACAGATCCTAGCATTCCATTTTAGTCTTCGGGTGTGACAACGTGTCTTTATTTTTATTCTTAACTATCTGTTCCCCGCGACTTTACCCGCGTGTAATTTAAGGTTTTTTTTTTACGCAGAATGCTAACTATTTTTCTCAAAATTAAACTAGCCTATGTTGTTCCTTGTAACATCAGCTATCTGCCAGTGTAAGTGCTGTCAAAATCTGTCCAGCCATTTCGTAGATCAGCCGGAACAAACACATAGACAGAAAGACAGACAGACAAAAATTTAAGCAATTGTGTTTTTTACATTTAATATCTATTTATTAGTATGTATGTACGTATGTATAGATTGAGATGTGAAGTGACTATGGGCCACAGCGTCCACTTACCATCAGTTGACTTTAAGTTTTAAACATTTCCCATATATCACTTACTTATCAAGATAATAGTTAAAAATTAAGTATAAAGTGGCTTATCTATTTCGCAACTACTTGCCCGAATATACTTTTTCACTATTATAGATTAGCAGGTGTTTTTGTTTTATTTTACGCGGACAAAGTTGCGGGTAAAATCTAGTGTAAAATATAATCTACTTAGGTTTGTATACCTTTTTATGTTCTGAACGTGTGGTTATAATTAGCTACTACAATTAATTATACGTCATTTAATATTAATAATTCTTATAAAAACATGCAGAAATAAAAATAAAACATAAAGAGCTATCGTTATTGCTTGTAGAAAGAATTAGAACTATGAATGGCATTGTGTACCGTTCACTGACTAAGATTTTATATAATCTAAGTATATACTATATATCTTTTTTTTATAAGATAGGGTGGCAAACGAGCACACAGTCTACCTGATGGTAAGTAGTTGTTCTGGCCCATAGACATCTACATCCATCCACGTTTGCGAATCAAAATGCAGATGCATTGTCACTCGTGAGGACTAAGATGGAATGCCTCTTTTCTTCCAGTAAAAAGGGTCTCCGGTTCTCTACACTCACCATAACAAACACAGCTTTGTCAAGCTGCTATTTGACGCTAGTGTTCTGTGAGAGCGTGGTCCTTCCCCGTTCGAGCCGACCCATTCGTGCTACAACTATACTACTAATATAGCTGCAGCATGGCTCTACCACGTACAAAATATCTGCATATAAATAAAATTCTCTCTGTTTTATAGAAACAACTGGCTTCTTTAAGTTCCGGTGGTTACTTTTAAATTTTATGTCTGCCTGA